CTGCCTATACTTACCTGGGAAAGCTTTAAACATTTTTATATATGGAAAAAATCTCGAACATCTTCATGAGAAGGAAGCTTAAGTACTGTTCATTCATTCATCCATTCATCTATTTAATTTATGCATACATGCAAATTATTTATCAGAAGTACAACTGAAGAGGTACAGCTGGTATTTGAACAAACAGAAAATTGATAGGCCCCCAGAAGCAGAAAAAGTGGGCAGCCATTGCCATTATAGGGCCAAAAAGCAAAGGGAGTAAAGAAGTTTCTGGAGCCCAGTGGGAATAAGGAACATGGAGGAGGACACAGCTAGGGTCACGTAGAGATGCTGCCAGAGTTTCGCACTGACCCAGGAAGAGAGCGAAAAAGTAGTGCCTCTACTATTCTCTCCTTATCTTTCCAGCTTCTGCCAATGCCAACCTTAGGCCAAATGTAAATAGAAATCGAGGTGGTAAGGGGTCTGGAAAACCATTCCAAAGGGGCACTTTCTAGACTACAGGAGGAGAAGTCAGCGAAGGGTCAGTAACAGACGCAGGAAGAGGGTCAAATCAGTATTACCTGAGTTCAGCCTTTCACTTCAGCATTATTTAAAGTATATCAATTAAGAATAGCAAACCCATTGATTTGATTATATTCTTAAAGACCTTAGAAAAGTTTTCTTTATCACTTGAGGAAGGAATGTTATTTGTAAAATGCAATTGCAAGTCAGAAGGTTTATACTTAGAAGAGAGAAACAAGAGTGCTAAACATATAAAGTAAGAACACAGCAACTTTCCCGGGATATTGGCTTTTTTCTGGTACATTACAATGAGTCAAGATGACATTTTGTGATTTACTGAGGTTTTGTTTAATGTTTGTGGGAAGAATACTGGAGATTATTATTTGTTTTGCCTCAAGGAAACCATAAAGAGAATCACTGCTAATGTGTTTCCTCCGTTGACTTATGTATGCCCTTCAACACGCTTCAAATCCACATGAAAAGGGGGATCATTTCTTGGTTTAAACCTGCAAATAAGAAGGAAACCTAGAACTGTCCATACTTCAGTAAAATAATTCTATTTAATCATTTTTAATCCTCTTCTCTCTTCCTGGAAAAACTATAATATTCCCTACTTCCCCAAAGATACTCTTTTCATTTCTGGGAATTCGATGATCATCATTCGCCCTGCCCTCCCTCCCCCAAATATTACTGCTTTCCTGGAAATCTCTTTGGTGCCCCAAAGGGTCTTCAAACTTAAAATTATTAACACATTTTAAACTGAGTTAGTTTTCCACCTCTCAAACCCACTCTTCTTCCTCAAGACCCAATTTCATCTTTCCTTTACTCCCAGCATCCAACAGCCACCCAGTCTTTTATTCCACCTCTATTCTTTTGGATTCCTCCATCCCCTTCCCAATAATTTAGGGTTGCTCATTCTGCTGCCATTGCCAAAAATGAGGACAAGCACAATAACTTCTAGCATGTGTCAACAGCACTTAGGATGTGTCAGAGATGGTGCTAAGAACTTTATATGTGTGACCTCATTTAATCCTTACTACACACTTATGCATTTACCAGTAAATGAGGTAGAAACTGTACTCAAGGTTACAGAGCTAATACGTGGCAGGTTGAGAGTTTCAATCTGCTTCAAAACTAAATGCTTTGCCTACCTTTTCCACCTTGACAAATTCAAATGTTCAAGGTTTGATTTAACATGTTTACTCTTTAATGAAGCCTTCCCAATCTCTCCTATCCTTCGTTTTCTATGCTCTCAGTATTTTCCATCCACGTTTATATGAATACACCACTGAATCCAGACGATAACTGCTATGAAGAAAAACTGCCGGTGCTGCTGATGTGTCCGTCCCCAGGCACCACACAAGTGCCATTAGAGCCGCAACCTCACCTTTTTTATTTCCCCACCACCAACTTCCTCCCTCTACTGATATGCAGTTGGAGTTGAATTAATAAATTATAGGAACTGTTTAGGTTAGAAATTAGATTTCTAATGGGGAAATAAAATTAACCTTGCAGAAATGGAATGGTAAAAGTTTTTGGCCTCATAGAAGAGTTGACAGGACAAGCAGAAAAATATTATGACTGAAAACAACTGGATTTGATCAGAGCCAAGGTTGTCTCAATGGAAACCTCTCAGTTCAGGAATGTACTTGTTATATTTGATATCGTATGAGTTTGACAGAGTTCAGAACATAATGAAAAGCTCTATTTATTCAAACTTTTGCCAGAAGAGAGATGTTGACTAAAAGGCTGGAAGCATAAACTGGCACCTGAGAGTTCTTGTTACTGTTTGTTGATATAGTCAGTTTACACCTTTTCTATCTGCTCAGCACAAAAAAATTAACAAGTGGTATTTAAAAAAAACTATTCAAATGAAATCCAAAATACGGTACTTTAGGTCACAAATTTCATGTGAGATATAATCAAAGGTGTTTCTTGCTCTAAAATAGTTGTGATATTTTCAAGCAAATTTTTAAAAAGTTTTTATTTATTTAGCTTTAGAGAGAGGGGAAGGGAGAGAGAAAGAGTGGGGGAGGAACATCAGTGTGTGGTTGCCTCTTGCGTGCCCTAGACTAGGCACCTGGCTCACAAGCCAGGCATGTACCCTGACTGGGAATCGAACCAGCCACCCTTTGGTTCACAGGCCAGCACCCAATCCACTGAGCCACACTATCCAGAACCAAGCAACTTTAGTCTTCTATGCTAAATGCATCTGAATTGACAGCAGAAGCCATAATGAATGCCCAAAGTATAATATTTTGGATGAAGATATTGTAACTCAATGAGTCAAAAAGAATAGTATCAAAATATACATTACAAAGGTTTTATCAATAGATACAAAACCTTCTTTAGCTGTAAACAACATTATAAAGAGATTTTAAATTGCTCAGACATGTTACACATTAGTGCAATCTTACTTGTTTTCCTAATTCAGCATTTGAGTACTTGAATTCACTTCTCTTAAAGTTGGATAAACTATATCAATTTGGAAGTGGGCTCTGTTTAGGGAAAATGGGATTAAAAATACAGAAAATCTAAAAAACAGTCATTGGTTCACTGCAAAGAACAAAGATCTTAGTCTCAGCGTAGGGTGCTGCTGTAATCATGACTGTTGCAGTTCATTTGTTGGAGTATCCGTGTCCCTACTCATAACATCCAGACCGGCACAAGACATGTAAATCAGGTAGTTCATGTTCATGTGAGCACTGGGAGTTTAATGATGAAAAATGTTATGTAAATATTACACTAAATAGTCAAATAACTGTTTCAGAAATTGTTTGAATTAGCCCCAGAAATTCTGTATGATATACAACACAGGGATTATTTACATATTCTGTTTTATATATTCTATAAAAGAAGATTAACAACCACAGTCATCCTCTAATTCTGTAGCAGCTTTATTTTTCTTGAAAATGGCTTAATGTTTAAACTTCATATTAGATTTCCACTCCTCACCCATTCCTCTGGATTTTAACTGCTTCATAATCAATAAATTTTGTACTGAATTCTTCTCTCCCCAAAGCAATTTCTCTTTTCTGCTCATCAAAGATAAACAAAACAAAACACAGAGTTTATTAGATTTCAGATCTTGATCCAGTTGCTCCCTGCTTCTCTTCTTACCTACAACCCAAATGATAGATGGTAGAGGAAACTACTTGCTAAACCATAATCCCCTCAAAGCTACAGAATGAATAATGTAGCCGGCGCTGCTTCCAAGCCATGGAACATTGGTGGGAACTTACCTTCAAAGGAGATGACTTCAAACAGCCTTTGAAACCACTTCATCCTGCCATTCTGCTGCAATGGCAACGATGACAACTACTGCCACGGGCCTCATCATTTTTCCACTGCATTTACTGCAAACGTTCCAATTCTGCTGCACCTTAGAGTCACGTAGTGAGTCTCGAAAATTTGCTAGACAATTATCCTGGGGTGGGCTTGGGGCCCCAGTGTGTCTACAGGCTCTCCAGGTGATTCCAACGTGCAGTCAAGGCTGTGAATCACTGACATGCTCCCACAGTGGCTACCTCAGGTTTGCCTGCCTTCAGTGTGCCCTCCGGTGACAGCCTCTATTACTGCTGCCAGAGAAGGATCTCTCCGTACTGCCTCCAGAATTCCATTCAAACTTACTTCTAAACGCAGCGTAAAAGACTGTGCAGGATCTGCTCTTAAACACCTGCCTGGCTGCCTGTTCCCTACTATCAGCAAGTTCCACCAAGCATTTGTTTCCCACACGCCTGTCTCGGTCTCCAGGCCTCAGCATGGACTCATCTCTTGCTCGGAAATGCTCTCCACTGCTTACCCGTTTACCTGCCTGGGAATGCATCTTCTCTCTGAAGCCTCTCCTGACATCCTGACCCCACTTCTCTATCAGAGTTTTCAGAGCACAAGTGTGATGGGTTTCATGTTTGGTTTGTCTGATTTTGCTTTTTGACTAATCATTGAACTGTCATTTTAGAGCATGTGTCTCTCACCCTCATTAGACACTTTTTGGAGCAAGAATCATGTCACATTTGCCTGTGTATCCCCATCTAACCTAGCACAGTGCCTCACATATGGCGATAGTTTGTATTTGCTGAATAAATGAATCAATAGCAGTTTATACTATTTTCACTTATTACATACAGACAGAGCCAGAGAGGATTCACACTGGGTCTACTGAACAAGTCAAACTTATACTAAATTTAAAAAGAATCTCAATCTTTATTTAACATTTAGTAATAGTAAGGACAATAACTTTAAGAATTAGCCTTTTAATTATGCTACTAGATGAATGTGAAACATGGTTAAAGTCAAAGAAAAACCTTCATTAAACCCTAAAGAGTTCTCTCTTATCATCGGCCTCCCCACAACATGTGTTTTCAGAATCAGAGCCAATATACACTCACCTTAGACTCCGGTAAAGGAAGGAAGCCCATTTAATGCCCACCACAAGTTGGCCTAATCTGGCTGCTCCCATCATGTGACATCTAACCCACAATTCTGGTGAACATGCTTACTTTGTATTTGCTTTCTGATCTGGAAGGGGTGGGAATATGTCCTTTTTTCTTGAAGGTTGTAAAGTGCTTGCATTGAGGACATGGCTTGGTGCTGGAATCAATACGGCCAAGTTCTAAGAAGTATTTATATTTGATGGAGTCTTCATGTGTTAAGTTATAGATAACCGTTGTTTCCTCCAGGAATTCAAAGCATTCTGTGATAGGGCATTTGATTTCTACTTGGCCAAGTTGTACCTGAGTGAAAGAGCAAATGGGAGAGAAAGTGAAAGACATTGGTTATTATGTCTCTCTTCTTTTTGTTCATATAGTATTTTTAACTTCATGATTATAGTAAATAATTCCCTGTTGTTTTTTATGATTCCTAACATAGTAAATGGTAATCACTTTGGTACATATGTTGAACAGTATCAAAAATAGTTAATCATGTTTCCAAAATGATTTATAGCATGTTTAAGCATTCCATATCATTATAATATTTGTGAACTTCAATGACCTGAACCATAGGCTCACCAAAGAAGCAAAGTATCATCATATTCTCTGGAAACCCCACAGTGAGACAGCATTCAGACAATGTACCATTAAATGAACAGCTGGGGTGACAAGGTGTTTCAGATTTTTCAACCTTACTACAGAATACCTCACACTGAACCACAGGCACATTTAACTATTTTAAAAGGACAAAAAAGAGAATATATATATATATATATATAAATAATTTAAACATTATTGCCAAAATAACTTTATTTTCCCTGACACTTCCATGTAAAGAACATATAATAATAGTTCTTATCAGAATCACAGGAACAAGTAAGACAACTAAACCGATCACAACAGTGTAAAAAAAAATCCTAATGAGATCTGGCTACCACTTCAGTAATTCATACAATGAATTTCTTCCAATGACAACGGAGTTTGATCAGGAGAGCGGGAAGATATGCTGGGGCGCTACATGCAAACTGCATGTGGGATTCGGATATGGCTACCATTCAAGATTACAATATAAGGTCAAAGCACACAGTGTGAACACAACTAACGTTTAAACAATAAAGAAAATAGACTAGTTTGGAATAAGGAGTACCTAGAATGTTCTGTGTAAGTGGTGAACAAGAGCTCTTTACATTCATGACATCATAATCTCTTTTGCTCATTGTGATGTAGCAAGGGGGTCAGTGACAGGCCAAATGGTGAACAGTGCTAAACCATTTCTTTCTCAGCTGGGTGAACCTGACATTGTGAGAGGGGAAACAACGTTGACCTTGATGAACAATGCCTGCTGTGAAGACTGGGGGAGGGCTGGGGAAAAGCTACATGGTCAGGGGAAAAAAAACATCACCACCAAAACAATAAAAACAAGAACAACTCTAAACTCACTGTAGTTTGTCCTTTAACTTTGCTGTTTATCTGGCAGAGACATGAGGAAAGGTGGTTAAGAAGCTACAGGCTTCAGGCTGCATGGAACAATATATTTAATACCAGTAAAGGACATAAGTCAGGCTGAAAATAAAATGAAAGAGTCTGTCTTTTGTTAAACTTGAATTATACCTATCTGTTGAAAGTGTAAATTACTGCATGATTTTATGCTACTATTGTACAAAAGCTGGTCCATAGAGGTTTTTCAAGTATTTGCCCCAAATGATTTTTTTCTACTTTTTTGGAGGAGTCTTCCTATAGTTATTACAATCAGGTTTTATTACATTTGTTACAGAGTTATAACAATGTTATTATGTTTTATCATAAGTTATTTTCACTTATAGCTCAAAACAGAGGTCCTCCAAAACCTTTTAAATGGACAAAAATTATATATGATATTATATAAGAAACTGGCCTAATGAGATATACAAGACATTTTAAAATTAACAAAATGTTTCCTCTTTTAACATTCTGTTGACATTTATCAAGCCCATTTCTGAGCCAGGTACTACGTCAGGGACTGAAGCATTTCAAGTGTCTATTCAGTAAAGAGGCAACTGTGATACAAAGTGGTGAGTGTGCCCGACAGGAAATGGGGGAGGCTTGGTAACTCACACTTGAGAAGTTCAGAAGAGGCTTCTTGGAAGAAGTGAGGTTTCAAGAGAGATCTTAAGATTAGTAGGACTTAGTCAAACAAGACTAAAGGTGTTTCAAGCAGACAGAAGATAACAACATGAGTAAAGGCCTGGAGGGAAAGGGAACACAGCACAACATAGCAGGGATACCCACGTGCCAACTGGATGAAATACATGCTGTCCTCAGGAAGAGGCAAACTAACTGAAAGATGGCAGCCTTAGAGGGACTGAATGATGAGCAGTAAAGAGTGAAGTACAAAGTAAGAATTTGGAAGACAAGACTGTACATATGAACTGGTCTCAGAGCACAAAGGCAGAGCATGAAGCCGCCTTACGAGTCTGGATGCTTTTCCTATAAAAATAGAAAACTTCAGTTTCAGTGTATGGAAGATGATTTCATTCCACACAGAATGGGCTCGCTTGGGTCATCTCCAATGACCCTTATCTATTGGGAAGCAATACTACAGGGGGTAACAGCTGGAATTTTTTAGTCCCGGTCCCAATGTTCTAAGCTGGCCTCCCTCACCTATAAATTTATTTATTCTAACTGTGTCAACAAGAACAATAGCAGCAGTAATTTCACAGCCAGCCAGGAGCGGTCAGGTCTTAGAGAAATGGAACATCCTTCAGGGACCAGAACAGTGCAAGGCAGCTTAAAGGAGGGAGTCTCCTTGTCACTCCTCCGGCAGGGCTGTTCATTACTACACTACCTTAGGGTGCCTACCGTCTAACACCCAACCTTGTCTTCTCCTCCGCTGTTTCTCAAACCTGCTGCAAATCGACTCCATTTCCATACAACACACCATTTCCTTAGGCCTTCATATTTTCTGCATTTTGCCTGTTCCATTCCTTCTTTCTGAAAGCTCCAAAATCCCTCCTCCACTACACTGAGCCAAATGATCTCATATTTTACTAAACAGAAGCACCATGATCATATTCCCTCATTTTCCCACTGCTCACTGTCCCAGTCCGTGTTTGTCCCCATCTGTTTTGTCTTCCTTACTTTTATTGCACAGGGTCAGAATCTGCTTCCAGGACAAGTGTGAGTCTTCTGACATGTCTGTTGAGAATTCAAGTTTCCTGGCCCACAGGGCAAGTAAGAAATTTTAATCACTGCCGATAAGCTGTCACTGGCAGTTAGAGACAGTTACTCATACAGTCCTTTGAATTACTCACACTTCTTCATACTAGCAAACTCCCTTTTCATAATAAAATGTCACCTGTGGCCTACATCTCTTGGCCTCTACATGTCTATCGATATTTTTCAGAATAATTTCCCGAAAAGATCACTGGCAAAGAGTCATCATGATTAAGCAAAGTACATTCATTTATTTATTAAAAAGATACATATTTCATCAACTCAAGCATGCATTTTCCAACGTTTTAATATCTCAAAAGTCAAGATTACCTTATAATAAATGATCTCTAGCATTGTGCCATAGTTTAATTTGCAGTGTTTTAATTTTCTTGGTGGCTCATAATACAATACTGCCAACTACAATGGATCATGTCTCAGATTTCAATAAAATGTGGTTTTTATGGATGTGGCAGAGTAATGGACTATGGAGAGATGAGGAAACAGACAGGGCTTCTATTGGAGGAAATGCATAATAAACAAGTGAATAAACCAAGCAGATTGTAATCAGTTGTTATGAAGGAAGGTATCTTTGAGGGGTAACAACTTGAACTGAGAACTAAAAGGCCTGTAATGGTGAAACTGCAGGGAGAGGCTGTAGTCAAAGGAAACAAGGACAAGGGCCCCAGGGCAGAATGTGCCCAGTGTGCCTGATGCGCCTCTGTTCAGAGAACAGAACTGAGTTACTGAAACATATCCTACATGACCCAGAACACACAGGCCTTGCTGTTATTCTAAGTTCAATGTGATTCATTGAGTGATTTTCATGATGAGTGACATACTCTGATTTATACTGAAAACCTCATTCAGACTCTTCCTGGAGAATGGACTGTAGAAGAACAAAAGTGGAAGTTGGGAGAAGGGTAGGATTGCACATGTACTTCCCGGCAATAGCATCGGGCTGTGGCAGTAGATGTCCAGGCAGTAGAAGACAGAGACTGAAGTAGGGAACCAGAGGTGGGCAGATGAGGTTCATTACAGGAGTAAAACCCAATGGCTTTTGGTGATGGATCAGATATGGAGGATGAGGGAGAGAAAGAAATCAAGGATGAGTCCAGGTTTTTGCTTGAAATATCCTGATGACTGGAGGGTGCTACCTACTGAGAAGTTTTTAATAAAATATAGTTTATGTGGGTATGTGACATTTGCTGGAAATGATCCACTGTAACTTATTATAGTAACAAGAATAAAGCTCACTAATTCATTCAAAAAACATTTGCGCTCCTATAATTATACTTAAATTATGTAAAGTAGTTGAAGTCATAGGTCTTGCTTTTGTAGAATTTGAGGATATAGCAATTAAATTTGTGTTGACAGCCTCTTCTGGCAACTTGGAATTTGATGGTATTAATTCATTTAACATTTTATTCAATGTTTTAAATTTTTATTAGGCATAATCATAAACACATGTAAAAGTTGGCAGATTGGTATTATAAACCCTTAAGTACTCATTCTCCGGGTTCAACAACAATCAGCTCCTGGCCAATCTTGTTTTTACCTGTGCCCTGACCCATATGGCCCCTCCCATATTATTTTGAAACAAAGACTAGAAATCATATAATTTCATTCATAAATATTGCAGTATGGGTCTATAAAAAACATGATATCAGTAACATGATATCAAATATCTCCCCAAAAGACCAAAATTCTTCAATATCAATTAACAGTTTAAATAATGTATCATCTATATTGCATTTGTAGAACTTTATATACTTAATGTATTTAAAACCAAGGTATTTTAAATTTCTGTTGTGTTCTATGCTAATACTACTGTTGATGTCACTGGAAAACACACTTTCTGATTCTTCTGACTGAAAAATATGCCATTCTTGTAAGATAAAATTATTAAAATTATTTAAATCTGGAACAATCTCCAAGGGTGTTAGTAAGAGACACTCTTTTCCACTTCATGTTCAAGCTGGATGGCTAATTCGCCACCTGGGATAACTCGAAATTAATTTAGTGACACAGGTAAAAGAGAGCTCCAGAAAAGTGGCAGGTCAGTTAATTAAATCATCCAGATAAAAGAAGAGAGGAAGCATAAACCTTGAACT